GCACAAGTCATTTGTTTTTAGAGGGAGAAGTGGATGCCGGGAAATTTTAGCCTGTGAATACGAGAGAAGCAACCTCGACTTTTGTACAAAATAACGGCATATAAAATCAAAATGAAGCAACAAGTCTTTTGAGAAATAATAAAACTGGTCCAACAAACAGCAACTCTTCTGTCCAGAGCTAAACACGCGTAAGATATCTGAAAGTACCTGGCATGGATAACCAGTGTTGCAAGATAATGAAAGAATGGCCAAAAGAAAAGAGAGTGCAATGTTGTGCACTGGCACAAAACAGGCCTCCCGCTTTCTTTAACGGCATAGTTCACCCAACAAATGTCAATTCTGTTATTTTTCTACTCACTCTTATATCGTTTCAAACTTGTATGGCAAAAACATTCTTCAAAATATATATTTTTGTGTGTTTGACATAAGAAAGAATGTTATATGACACAACAAGTATATTTTTATTTTTGGGTGAACTGTCCCTTTAAGGAGTGTGAATCTTCTGTATTGTAGAGGATTACGGCCACAGATCATTCACAGAAGGTCATCTGTGGGCACGGTTTAAATTAGCCTCATTAGTATCTATTCCTGGATTTAATACTACACTTTCCGGCAAATGCTTATGCATTTGGATTTCAGTTTTGACAGTCTACACCTGTCCACCTTAAGACTCTTATATCACATGCATCAGAAGAAAGACACAAAACACAGTGTTCAGCTTAATGTGGGCGAAGCTTGTTTATTTGTATTTATATTTTTCAGCTCAAAAAGGTCAAGCTTCAGTTGTCTCTTCCACTTTTTGTGGGGGAGAAAAAAAGTGCTTACTTTTTTTGCCAGAAAAAAAAAAGTAGATTTTGTGTCAGTTTATTTTAAGGAAGTATTTCTATACAAGTAACTTTGTCAGCTTGGGAAAGGATACAGTACATTGTGACAACTTATAAAAGTTTTCCATTCACATATTAAACTTAGCCCAGGGCTAAAGGTCACCGTTGACATTGATTCTCCTCTGAATGCCTGTTATAGTCCAGGAATCTGTTTCTAGGTAACAAAACCTCGGTATCAAGAAGGTTTTATAACTTTAAAAGTTTTGTTTTTCTCCCTAGTGTATATTTCCTTTCTATGTCAGAATTTTTTAGAGCGCATATGTATTCACTGCGTGTCATACATCATCTTTATTTAACAATATACATATGCAATATACACTGTGATGTGATCCATGCCAAAAAGTTTGTGCCAACCTCCAGCGATGTCATTTATGGTACGGCTGCCACGGCTGTATTGTCTCAGCGCTCTCTCCTCTCTATCTGCCCGTGATAAATGTGAACAGTGTGCAAAAAAAAAAAAGGAAAATCAGTTCCCTGTAACATTTTCAAAAATGTTCAACTTTATGATGCCAAGACCAGGACAAGACCCAAGAAATAAACACGTTACTGCAAGCTTACAGTGGCTTTGTTCCAAAACCTAGTGAACTGCCTATATAGCCAGCATCCTAACCTCATAAATGACTGATTTGGAATGCTTAACAAGACAAATAGCAGGACAAACATCTCACAAAAAAAAGCATGCAAAGTTCATAGAAACTCAACTTAAAATTGTTTACCACAATTACCTTTATGACGTTGAAGCAGTGTTGGGAAGTTCATAGAAACTCAACTTAAAATTGTTTACCACAATTACCTTTATGACGTTGAAGCAGTGTTGGGAAAAGTAATGCGCAATATTGCGTTTGGAGTGTCTGTTTATAAGTGCAAAAAGCCTACCTTGTTGGCAGAGGCTACTTACACTAGTGTTGGTCCTTATACACTGAGTCCGAAATTCTCATCCGAAATTTTCGCACGTTAAAAAATAAATACGACCTCAATCAAGTTTACACACTACCTACGAAACTTTCGTATCTCATAAAAAATTTCGGATCGGTTTCGATTTTCTGCGTTTTTCGCATCCGTTGCAAGCATTTTGAGAGGTATTTTGATAGCCTGGATGCCAGCCCGAACTCCGCCCACAACATTTTTTGATCGGGAAGTTCGGTCTGGACTCGCTCCATTGAGGAGTAATTATGATCGGTTCAGAAATCGTCGGGCCAATCAAATTGCCAGGGCGGGCTTTATTCGATGATGGACAGATGATCTGCAGGGACGTAATCCTCACGTTATCAAAGAGTGCTTGGGTTGAACTGGTTTCCCTCACAGATGACTGCAGCTGGAGAACTGAGATGTAGAGATGCCGCTATTGCGTCTGTTGTAAAAGAAATCGACAGCGCATTCATTTTAAAAGACGAACATAGAACTGCAATCAAGGCATTTGTCGATCGGAAAGATGTGTTTGCCGTCCTTCCTACGGGATTCGGCAAAAGTTTAATTTATCAGCTGGCTCCGATGGTAACTAACTAAGAAGATGGGACGCAATGAAAACCCTGTGGTCGTTGTAGTTTCTCCTTTGGTCGCACTCATAGAGGGCCAAGTAAAAGAAGCAACACTCGTTATTTTACTTCTTCCAGCGTGCGTGCATTTGAGTTCTGTAGTTGACAACTGTGCTATGCAAAGTAGTTGACTTACTGCGTTGCTCTCATTGGTTGTAGGTCTATCCAATTGAGTGCAGAGGGTTTTTTTTTCCTGGTTCGGTTAAGACACGCCTCATAATCAAAGCCCTATGAAGCAGTATCAGACTCACATTCTGACTAGAATATGAGTATGACGAAGTCAGGCTAGTATTTTGACAATTCAGAGCCACCAAATTACAAATACGCACACGAAAATTTCTCCCTCAGGGCCCTATTTTAACAATCTAAGCACATGATTTAAAGCGCACTGCGCAAGTGCACTTAGGGCGTGTCCGAATCCACTTTTGCTAGTTTAACGACGGGAAAAATGGTCGGCGCACCCGGCGCATGGTCTAAAAGGGTTGTCCCTATTCTCTTAATGAGTAATGGGTGTGTTTTGGATGTAACGTGCAAAAAAAATAATCAGAGTAAAATCTGAAATCATAAAAATTGGAAATGTATTATTAAACTTCACCCGCGGCTATATAGACATCTTTTTTAAATTATATATAAAAATATTTCATTATACTTTATTTTTATTAATACTTTTCAGCATTGAATGAATTACTTATTTTTGAGATTTTTCTTGTTTGTACTTGGATTTAATTGTTTTACTGAGCTCAGTGTAGTGCACTCTGGGATTAGAATTTAGCCAAAAACGAAATATTTTAGAAGACAGCATAATGCTGTAAGATTCTACATACACATATGCAGCAGCCTAATGAGTTTGCTGTACACCATATAGGAAAGCATAGGCCTTGATAGTTTCCCATAAGCAATCATTGACTAATTATGAGGTTGACATCAGGAACCTGATTCATTTGCTTGATGTTGAGCAATGCCCAATAGTCATGAGGAAGTTGTCTGTTCTGAGGAATATATATTGTTACCTGTCCTGTCTGGCTTACCTGTTATGACATACAGCTGTTGCAGACGTCACATACCTCACTTTCAGGACCAAACTGGATTGAACTAGGAGGCTGGAGGTGGTACACTCCAAATCCTGGTGGATATGTGTCATATAACTGTTTCAGAGAAGTGAGTAAAGCTAGAGTGTGTTTGTGCAATACACATATTAGAAGGTGTGGAATTCATTATATCCTCCCATTTTGATAGTATAAGTAAAACATGTTGATCTTATAGATCTCAAAATAAAATGTAAGATTGTATTGCAAAAAAAGGATTGTGAATATGAAAAACAGCCAGTTGTTTGTGTGTGTTAGAATATGTATTGTTTTTTTCATAATTAACACTGTCAAATCAAAGCTTAACAGTATCAAAATGAAAAGAGTTAAGATCTTTCTTAACTATATGCCTTTTGAAGTATTTATATTTGTTGTTTAGTTTGGATCATTATTAAAAGGAGAGATAGAGGAGACTTGAGCCCCATGATTTGTTCTATGAGAGGTATGAATTATGTATTAGCATTCAGCAGAAGTAACTGCTGTTTTGACAAGGGTGCTAAAATGCCTGCTGGCTCTTCTTGAATCTGTCAACAGACAGTGTGTGTATTCTGCGATACACAATCACAAGTGTGTATGTGTGATAGTGAAACCAGATTGAAGATGTGAGGCACACACTAGACATTTACTAGAATGAAAAATGATTTCCTAAATAAGCATGGACAGCAAACTACTTCTTTTTTTTTTTACATTACATTATTCCTGCGTCCAAATATGCATACTTTCCCTGCTATATAGTGTGCAAAAAGTAGCATGTGAAATGAGACGACTATTCAAATACACATTGAACAACACCAAGATGACCTGTATGCCTAAAGAATGGAGGCTGCTTCAGTGTTTAAGAAGTTGTTAATCAAATTAAGTGTGTTAAAAGTAATTCAAACACATTTAATTGTAGCTCATATAAGGAGCAAATGATTTGTTTGACTCTTCTCAGTTGGAGGTTAATCAATTGTATTTAGCTAATTTATCAGTATCAATTATAAACTAGAGAAAACAAATGAAGACAGACCAAATTGGATTGACTAAAGACTATTCTAACTTGCATTTCGAGTCTGTTTGAAAGTGTCAATGGCTCGTTCTTTATAGAAACTTTTGTTGATTGTGGAAGATGAAAGCATTTATACCCTAAGTGTTAAAAGGGGGCATCTCGAACATTTAGCACTCAAGTTCGCTCGTATAACAGAACGCGATGTCCTTTGACTGTCCGGGAGGGGAATCGATATTAAACTTTTATTATAAAGCATTTGGTGTTCCGTAACCATGTCAGGTTTCCGAGAAAACTAAATCACGGTATAATCAGGATAAATGTTAACAATCGATTCCACACCCTCAGTCTGAGCTACAAACTACAGTACATCTGTAGAGGGCGATCGACTGCTTCTCTGTAGGGAAGAAAGCCTGTGAGTTGATTGGATGTTAGAAATGTAGGCGTGGCTTGGGCGAAGGTCTTTCTACAAAACCGAAATGCGACGCAAAGAAAGTTTCATTCAGCACTGACTAGATAGATAACAGACACAGAACTCTTGATTTATTGTCAATCTTTGTAGCGCTGAGTACAAACCGCATATAAACTAGCTTAAGAGCAGTTTCTAGCAACACGGCTCTACGGGAACAGGGCTTTAGAAGAAACATTACTTATTGCTGGTTAATTTCTTAATTTGGATTGAATCACAGAGGGTCTATAATGGATCTGGTGTGGCTTTTATACATCGCAGCGAGTATGTGCGCTTTGCTCGCCTCTGCTGAGAGACACACTGTTTTCTGGAATAGTACCAACACTAAGTAAGTAGGCTAAAGTACTTTTTTTGTTTTTGTAAAAAACAAAACAAAAAAAAACTGTTTCATTATAATGTTGTGATAATGCTTAATGTTATTTACTTTACGCTGAAACGCTGCTAGTTAGTAATATTTTTTTGCGAACTCCAGGATAATTTGGCTTTTGTTTGTTTACTTTTAGTGTTTTATGTAAATTGTCCGAACTTTTTCCTCTGTGTGTGAATGTTTCTTTGCAGATTAATGCGGGTTTTATGGTCAGTGTCTGCAGAATAGGAGACTCGTGCTTGTTTACATTATGGATGCGTTTTGACGTTGCGGTGTTACATCTTTACCTGTAACAGATTGCATAATCCAGACACTCTTATTGCGTCATAATCTCTCTACTACCCGTCACCGGAATGTTTGTTTACCTGTCCTGCTGTGTACATGTGATCCGGAATGAAATCTGCCTCTAAGACGAATTGATGCTTGCTGGGTGTGTGCTGACTATGCTCGTTCTCGTACACAAGTAATAGTAGCAAGTTATGGTTTGGGCCATATTAATTTAATGTAAACTCAACAATAAGGTACCCTCACGGTCTTGCCATAGATAGGCTATATTTGGCGTTGTTAATTCATGAGTAAAAAAAAAAAAAGACCGAATCGATAAATACGAGGAATCTTCCAGGAGTGTTTTGCTTTTTTGACGTGTGGCTATGAGTCAGTGAGGTGTTGAAATAGGTGCTGAGTGCTGAGTGACTTTTCCGATGACTGATACGCGCAGAGCTGATGACTGGAGCTGGGATTGCAAAACTCGAATTGCCGATACGAGGCATAAGCGAACGAATCAATTCTGGATGTTTGTAAAGATTCGATTGAACCGAGTCACCGAGCGTTTGCGATGGACTGAAAGGAGAACTTTGTTTCAGAGTATAGTACAATGTAAGGTGGGACCAGCTGGTAGGTAATGTAATCTGTCAAAACAAACTCGAACAAAATAGTGTTTGTAACTAAATACAGCAATATTTAACCAAATATTAAACCACACAAAGCATATTAATTTTCTCGCATGGACTTCTGAGAACACTTTTGAGTGATGACTCAAAGGAGTCCATGATTTTAAACCTGTTCACTGAAATGAACCGATTCGTCCAAATGAATCAGATTTCTTAAAGCTAAACCTGGCAAATAAGATAAGTAAATAAGTAATGATTTAGCCATTTTTGAACAATTGGTGTTAATATTCTATTCCAAGAGCCTGAAGGGATTCGTGTAGAAATGCTGATAACAGACAGAAAAGAATTAGAGCATCTGCTCCTCCACAATCTCAAACACTCTCTCTCTCACACACACACACTCACATTTAACCCATCCACTCTTCTTAGAACAATAAGCGTTTGCTTCAGCAGATGTAATGATTGCGTCAATGTCCAAACAACAGTGATCATTTTAGTGCCTGCGTAATCCACACGCTTACTATTTTTATTCCACATCTTAATCTTTCCCTCTCTCTCTCTCTCTGTGATCTAATCCTGTTTTCATAGAAATACTAGAGGGGCTGGGGGAGATGCTTTCTTTTTTTTCTGCACTTTTTTTTTCCTGCATTTCCTTCTTTTTCTGCATTTCCTTCTTTCAACACCACGAAGGAAATATAGTCTGGTAAATATCATAATGTGATTGCATTTGTATGCATTTGTGTATCTGATGCACATGTTTGAAAGAGTGGGCGCATGTGTGTGTGTGTATAAGCCTTGGGGGAAGGATGACTCTAGGGTCGACAGACCATTGCAGCTGAGCACGCTTTGTTTTTCAGCATGAGAGGTGATTCGGAGTCAGGTCGTGTCAACGCGCATGTTTGAATTTGTTGGTGCATGTTCTTGATGTGCTTGCAGCTGCTTGCTGAAACACATGTGTTGTAGTGTTGCTCACGGTCAATAGTTGATCAACTGGAAGGTGTGTTTCAGTGGGAGCTGATTAAGGAGTGTCCTGGTGAGCAGTTGTAACTCAGCACTTGTTTATGATTCACTGACTCACTCATATATTTATTAACCAAACTTCCTCTATTAAATTCTCCGTGCACTCCTGAAGAGTGTGTTCTTCTCTGTTTGACCATTTTGGAAGTACAACTATATGACTTGTAATTCATTAAAGGAATGGTTTACCCAAAAATTAAAAAAAAAAAAAATTTATTTGTAAGCAGAAAGTGACAGAAAGTAGTGCACCATCAATCATTAGGCCATATTAATAGATATCATAAAAGAGCCCCAAACGACTATATTCCAAGATTTCTAAAGTCACATGATAGCTTTGTGTGAGGAACAGAACGAGTCATTACTCACTGAAAATGTGCCCTAGATTTCTTTGGCATGTTAATGAAAATTCATGAGATGAAGACAAAGTCCAATTCATGAACAATTCATTATTTTAAGTGGAATCTTTCCAATGTTCAATCAGTTTATCCAGTTCAAAAAACTTGTTTGTTCATGAATCACATTCTCAGCAACTCAATGATCTGGTCCTAATGATTTTTTTTTTAGTGAATAACGTCTAAAATTTTGTTTTGTTCTTCACTTAAGCTACTGTATGACATCAGAAGATTTGGAATATAGTACACAATGCACATTTAACCACTTTTATGATCTTTTTTTTTATTATTATTGTTTTATGATTTTGAAGCTTGAAAGCTCCAGTCCCCATTTATTGCAATAGAAGACTAGTACACTGTTCACAATTTTTTCCTTTTATGTTCCATGTAAGGACAAGAGAGGAAGTAAAAAAAAATGACAGAAATTGCATTTTGTTGAGTGAACTAATCTTTTAATATTACTCATGAATGCTAAACTTTTTCTGTAATTGTTGTTCTTGTTATTTTATCATCACTCAAAGGCTTATAGAGATTTCTTCTCTTTCTGTATCTTTCTTCTGTCTCTTTCTTTGGCTTCTCTCTCTCTCCTACAGTACCTGTCCTTCCCAAACCTCCTCCCTTTCCTCTGGCTGTGTGCCCCGTACCGCATGGTTAACTGGCACAAAGTTCAACCTCTCCTCTGCTCCTTTTCTTTAACTCTTTCCCTCTATCGTTTCGCTCTGCCCCGATCCCATCAGTACCCCAAAACTCTCCGACCTCCTCACATTTTTGTTTCTTCTCCGCTTGTCCACGATCACCCCATTGTGTTACTGTTTCACCCTGTAAAAAGGCCTTTTACATGGTTTAATTCAGCCAGAAATGGGGCTTTCTTGGTTTTCTACCAAAAATGTCCCATTCACTTGTGTTTTTTTCCAGGGAACGGGGCTTTTTGCTTGTGGGGTTTTGCCAGCTAAGTGCTTTTTTGTTATACGTTCCAGCCAAATTAGCACGCTCCCACCGCAGATCTGCAATGGAACAAAACCAGGGGCTAGTGTGACCAATTGCGGGGCAGAGTTCACAGCCGAAATGAAGTGCCATTCATACGGTGTGTCTGTCCCTGTGCGCGTCTGTAGATGTGTGCGGAGAGGAGAAGTGGAGATAGAAACCGGTGATGAAGTGCCATTTTGCTTTTGTCTACATGTCACTTAGCATTAAACTCATCAGATCTGTGTGTGTGTGCGTGTTACACTGACAGTGAGAGAGTGATGAAGTGCCATTCACTCTCTGTAGTCTGTCACTCTCTCTGGTGGCCTTCAAATACGGAGCCGCCACTCGAGCCCACCTCTCTCCCGATCTCCTGTCTGGCTTCTCCCTCGTTCCCTCCACCTTTTATCTCAGCCGTACACGCCAGTGCTTTTCATCCTTTTATTCGGTTCCTGTCCTTATTTCCTTTCCCTCTGTGAAAGAAGGAAGAAAAAGAGGTGTTGAATTTTTTTTCTTTGCCTTTCTTTAACAGTCTTGGCAGCCATAAACACCAGTCTGTCTCGCTCCCCTTTTCTCCTCCCTTTCACCTTCTTCATGCCTATTCCGTCCATTCTCCGACTCTGAATTCTGCGATATCCACAGAATTCAAATGGCCGTCATTCACAAAGCTCTACAGATTCTTGCCCAGTGAGTGTTTGTTTTTTAGCTAGTTTAGTGCACATTTACATTTACCCAGAAATGAAAATGGTCATTGTTTACTCACCCTTATGTCCATAGGGGCCAATCCCATGAGTGATTGGGGGCTCAAGCTTGCACAATGATAAATTGCATTTTAAGTGATTAACTCCATAGTCATCAGCAGTGGTGTATCCTGGCATAGGCAATATAGGCAGCCATCTAGGGTGGCATGGGGCACTATAAAGGGCACACGCAGCTTCACGGAGTATGGGTACCAACTAGGGGTAGCCTGGTTAAAACCAGACCATTCTCAGTTGTAACTGAGTTATGGTCTGGCAAAGCGTCAAAGACAAATCATTTCCAGAGGGGCGTCACCAACGGACGTCGCGGATAGACCTAAAACCAATCAGAGCGATGAAGGAGATGGCATATGCAGAGCGGCAGAAACATCTCCGAGTGTTGTTCTTTGCTCGGTTTTTAACAAAAAGGAAACGTTCAAATCGCTTAAAACAGACGCGATAGGTGATTCGAACGAGTGATGTTCGACGGCGGCATCCATCTTTGTAATGTAGGCTACAAAATCTCCTTCAAAATCCCAGCGCTGTCGTCATCGTGTAAAGCCCGCCCCAACGTTTCTGATTGGTGCCGCGATTTCGACGGATTGGAAATGGGCTTGAATGAGCTCTTTGCCAGACTAACTTTCAGAGCAAATCTAAATTTGCCGGAAGTTGTCTGGGTTTTCCCAGGCTACTACCAACAGGCAGAAACATAAATCGGCACTTAAGTCATTTCGAAATCCATATGACTTACTTCGAAAAACAATTGAAGATCAAGGAAGTACTATATGTTGAGCTCCAAGTCTGTCAATGTTTTTATATGAATATAAAGTGCTCAAAATAAACCTCTCAGTTTATATGGATCATGTTTCCTTATGTTTTATAAAGCGTGAACATTTTGGGTGAATTACCTTTCAATGGAGGGACCAAAATCTCTCAGATTTCATAAAAAATATCGTAATTTA